CTTCCAACTCCTAATATGCTGTGATTCTGTAGAAAGAGGCTCACTTGGCCAGTGGCTGCAAATCCCCTCGTACAAGAGGTCTTCCTGACACATAAATTGGATGCTGTGCTCTTTAACGGGAATCTGGCCAGATACTGGGTTTGCAGAGAAAGCAGAGGAAACAGCCATTGGTCTGCCCATAGGCAGTCCTGAGCTTTGGGGAAAGTTGATGGAGGACAGATGCAGGGAGTAGGGAGAGGTGTCCCCTCTGGGAAGGCAGCAGCTGAACCGGCTGCATGTATCTGGGGACAAGCAGGGCATGTGAAGGTTGTGACCGGTGACAGTGGCTTGCAGCTCCACTCTCTGCTGTCCACTCTGCCTCCCGCAGCACCTGCTGAGGAACAAGTGGGATGGGATGGGGTCACTTCCCAGGCTGCTGCACACCACAGAGACAATGGCCGGCCAGTTTTTCCAGAAAAACGTATTGTTAAAGGATTCAGCTGTTTCTCTCTTGCCTGTAAAGTGTTTCTTTCCCTTTGTATCTTCTAGAGAAACAATAAAATAAGCAGGATGCAAACCTCCTTCCATCTCATGTCATTCAAGTTTTGCTGGCAAGGCAGAATTTGCAGTTTTGCAAGTTCATAAACATTAAACCATAATATATATTCTCTCATACAAAGTTTTTGTTTTACCAAAACCTTTATGGAAGATAATATTATTTAAGAATTAAAATTCATTTTCACCTTTTTTTTTCAGATTATGTTCTGGGATGCATACTATGGTAAGCTAGCCTCTTGATTTATCTCCTTCACAGCTGCGTCACACTGTGAACATTACAATTCAGTCTGATACTGGTTTTCTGACAGTTTTTAGCAGTTTATCCTACAAGAAATACCCATATCCTACAAGAGATACCCATTTGTCATGTTTCTAGTAAAGCAGGAGGAGAAGTGTTGATGTGAAAGGTTTAAAAAAGTAATAAACAGGAAAAAACATTTAAGATTGCAAAGTGAATAGAAGTTGAAGGTGAATAGATGCTATCATAGTAAATAGGCTATTTCTTTTGCTGAATTTAAGGCTGTTCTGAAACAACCTGTGACCTGAGAAAGTCTGCTTTGCTGATACAATAGAGCAGCACAGCTTTACCAGCAAAACCTCACAAATACAAACCTAGCACCTAAACCTGAGTGAGATAAGTAAGTGTTAAAAGCTCCTGGGCTGTCTGCAAACTCTGGACACTGGCACTGCATCATCCCTCGGCAGCTGTCAAGACAAGAATTGAATCAGTGAAAGCAGAGGGACTGTTGTAACTAGATGCCTCCTCAACAAGGAGTCTGGGGCACCAGCTTATGGTGACTATGCCTTATTTCCTCCTTTTCTGCATGCCTAAGATTTTATCTTTGGTTTTTTTTTTACTTAGCTTTTAATAATTTGTAATCTTAGTTTTAGGCAGTGGACAAGGAGATGGCAAAACCAGCTGTTAGTATTCATTTTCTGCAGAAGCCACTAAAACAGTGAGTCCAGGGAATCATTAGATAGGAGAATACCATCAGTGATATAAATGTTATGAAGAATGATGCTAAATATCTGGCCTTCGATATATGTTTCATTACTTCTTCTGTGAGGGTGGGATTAACTTCTCCTAATTTCAGTCATTGGATGTTTGTAGTAAGGATGTCATGCAGGCTTCCTCTCTAGTCTATGAAGAGAGAAAGGCAACCAGTTGAGAATGGTCCACCCAAACAAGCACAGTCACAATCAGGATGCATTACTGACGTAATGCTTAAGCTACCTTGGGGTGGCTTCCTTGCAGTAATTAAAAGCCATTCTGTCCTGTCTTCTTCCTACAGAACACCAGTGTGCATTTCCTTCTTGGTGATACCTTTTCTAACATTTTGAAGAGTGTTGTCCTGCATCTCCATGGCTTTTTTCCTCCTCATTAAACAAACCCATTTTTTCATCCTGTCTTCCAAAGTCTCATTTTCTAGACCTCTTGTATGCATCTTGCTTTCCCTCCATACAGTGGGAAAATCTCCATTGCGAATAAAAGAGGGTTGGGGAAGAAAGGCTGAGCACTCATTTGGCCTCACTGCTGGCTCACCTTTTGGCTCTGTTTTGCACTGCTCCACCTTGGTCTCTTCAAGTCAAAGCTGATGTAGCAGCATCTTGCTCTAGCGTGGACGTATGCAGGCAGGGCACTTGGCCTGAGGTCACATTTGTCCCTGATCCTCTTTTATTAACAATATAAACTTAACTGTTGATAATCAACTCTTTATACATAATTTTCCAAACAGTTTTCTGTGTTCCCTACAGTAGTCTCTGTTTTCCTAGCTCATTTAACAACAAAGCCATCTGAGACATTTCTATTCTAGGATGTTCACTGATTCCCACTAGGTCCCTTATCCTATAATACAATTAGATTTAATTGGTTTGGATTATTTGATCTTGAAAAATGCATACTGGTTGTTACCATCCTAAACTTACAGTTTAATCATTCCAGTAGCTTTGCAGTAACAGAAATAATGCGATTTCTCTGTAATTCCTTGAATCTTCTCTTTTCTCCTTTAATAAAGCTACATGGTAGGTTCACTTTTTTTTCCCAGTCTTACAGAACCTCACCTGACTCCAGACATTTTTTTAAGACTACTTTACCTATGTTTGAGCATGCATTTCAGAGACTTGAAACCATGTAACTTGCTTAAGGCTGTAGGTGTAGCCCTTCCCTAGCACCAGTTACCCACCACTGCTGCTAGAGTCCCCCATTTAACTCTACCTGCTCAGCTGTGCTGATGAGACCCCTAAACCCACCCAAAAACCCTTCCAGGAGACCTAAATTGTGCTGGGATATGCTGGTGGCATCTGACTGCAGGTGGGCTGAAGGTGGTAACAGCTTTAAGCCAGTATTTTACCACAGCCAATACTCAATGATACACGTGCATATAGCTTGAGCAGATGGTGGTTGGTGGTTTCTTCCCAGTACCAGGAAGAGTTTTCATGTTTCCATCCCTGACATCAATTCTGGCAGCCTGCTGACTGAAATAAATCTCTCTGATGAAGTTTTAAATTTTAGAAAGGTTGGAGAGCATGCCCCAGGTTAGGCTTTTCTGGCTTGCTCCCTGATCGCTCCCGTCTACAATAAGCAGCTGTTATCTGGAGAACATTTCCAAACTCTTTTGGAGTCTTTCCAGTGGGCATCTTAAAGGAAAACTGGCAGCTCTGCTTGGTGCTTCACTCGTAGTGCAGCATCCTCTGCTTTCAATACTTTGCTTGTCAGAAAAACTAAGCTTTCTAGTGTCCAAGCTGCTTTATAATAATTGTGTGGATGTGTAAAAGCCAGATTTCCTCCTAGTTTGACATTGCTCACTGTATAATTTTGACACCAGGTTTTTTAAACATGTATGCACATGATCATTTTTTAATCTATATGCATATCAACCTAACGCAGGAGACCTAAACCACCAGTCTCAAATTACATTTGTAACGAGCTCATGAACTGTAAGTCAGTGCTTTTCTCTAAAGCAGACCATCCATCCTCCAGAAGTGGACTCTGCCTCTGGGCACCTCCTGGCATCCCTGCCAGGGGCTGTGGGGATGTCTCTGGAAGCAGAGACTTGGACTGAAATTACTCCTGAGGAGCAGTTCCGTGAGATGTAGCCCATTTCCTTCCAAATTGCTTCTCCAAGCATCTCATGTGCTGGGAAGGAGGCTGTGTAATTCAGGTGAGTGGTGGTGGTGACTCATCCCTCTCTTGCGGCATTTCTGCAGGCGGCAGGAAGTGCTCGTCCAGCCCCTGTCAGCACAATGGAGTGTGCGAGGACAGCATTCGTGGCTACACCTGCACCTGTGCTGAGGGCTACGAGGGAGAGAACTGCGCTTTTGGTAAGGCATCACCCCCTCTTCTGAGACAGCCTATCTCCCTGTCATAGGAGGTCCCTAGGAGGCCATGGGCAGCTCTCCCATTACAGCCAGTTATGTTTTTAGGTTAAAACACGCAGTTCTTGGCAGAGCAGGGGTGATGTGTGCTGCCTGTCTACCAAAATGTTACAGCATCCCAAGGTTACAATGGCTGCCTGTTCCATCTGAGTCTCCATTCTCTGGGGATGCAGCAACAGGGCTGGAGCAAGTGCCCCTCACGGGTGGGCTCCAAAGGCAGCCCCGCCCACTGCCACTCATGGTCCTGGGCTTCTTGTCCTGCTGCAGGGCCTGAAGAACCAGGGCTGTGGTACTGGGGTGGCTTCCCAGCCACCCTGGTGCCTCCAAGGCCACACACACCCACAAGACAGTCCTCAGGAGAGAAGGACTCCAGAAAACAAACCAAATCATTTTCAGTGGAAGTATGAAAGCATAAAGCAAAATGGATGCTTTCTGGCACATAAAACACTCTGGACCAGATCCTATTTTTACATCTGCCAGGTTCTACGTTCCAGCCCTTACATCAGTATTTCTGCTGGTTCGGAGGTCCCCTGGGGTGGGAGACGCCCCGAGTGCCGCAAGGCAGGGTCATTTTCTGTGTAAGGGGTGTGACTGGACAGAGACAGACCATCTTCTTGGGGAGCACAGAGGGTGACACAGCTTGGACCAGTGCTGGGATCCAGACTGGTTCAGCATGAGCCTTAGAGAGCCACTTCAGGTAGGGTTTTTTTGCTACGTCTCCCTCTGTGTGCTAGATTCACCATCAAATGGCTGTTCCTCCTGTCACTTTTTGCTGAAGCTTAAGTGTTTACTCAGCTGTGAAAAGTTGACCGAGCATGTTTCAAAGCTGATTAACACTTTTTTTTTCCTTATCTTTGGCAGCTATTAATTTTAATTTTCTTAGCACAAGCATGAGAAGTAAGATCTATACATTTGATTTTGCTGAAAAGGAGAAAGCATTAGCCTTTTTCTTCCTCAAGCAATACCTACATTGTTATCATTTACCTAGTGTTCTGTATAAGAGAGCAGAAAGAAAACTCATGGCATCTTTCCATGAGTTCACATGGAAGGCCTTGTTTGATCCTTGGCTACTAATATTCCCCAAAATTCAGAAGTGCAGGCAGCCTGGTGCAGGGAGGCGCTAGGTGAGCACAGTTTGGAAGCTGCAGAGACTCAGCTGTCTCAAATTTCTGCTTAACAAGGGAAAAAGCAGTGTGGTGGGAAACACTACCCAGCCAGAGCCCCTACCCACCTCCACACAAAGTGAGTGAACATATTGTAAAATGCTTAGAGAATGGAATAGAATGGAATAGAATGGAATAGAATAGAATAGGTCCATTCAGTTGGTAATTCAGTTGGAAGGGACCTACAATGACCATCTGGTCCAACTGCCTGACTACTTCTGTGCTGTCCAAAAGCTAAAGCATGTTATTAAGGGTGTTGTCCAAATTACTCTTAAGCACTGACTGACTCAGGGCATCAGCCACCTCTCTAGGCAGCCTGTTCCAGGGCTTGACCACCCTCTCAGTAAAGAAAAGCTGCCTAAATCTAGTCTGAACCTCCCCAGGCACAGCTTTGAACCATCCCCACATGTCCCATCACTGGACACCAGGAAGAGGACATCAGCAGCTCCCTCCTCACTTCCACTCCTCAGGAAGCTGTAGAGCAATGAGGTTGCCCATCAGTCTCCTTCTCTCCAAACCAGACAAACCCAGAGTCCTTTAGCTGCTCCTCATTGGACATTCCTTTCAGCCTTGTCACCAGCTTTGTTGTCCTCCCCTGGATGCAATGAAGGATCTTCACATCCTTCTCAAATTGTGGGGCCCCAAACTGTACCCAGTACTGAAGCTGGGGCTGCACCAACACTTAATGTAGTGGGATAATCACCTCTTTTGTCTGGCTGGTGATGCTGCATTTGATGCACCCCAGGATGGAGTTTGCCCTCTTGGCTACTGAGCCTGCTGCCAACCAGCATGCCTAGATCCTTCTGCAGGGCTGCTCCCAATGCTTATCTTCTGCTTGTTCCATTTAGCTAAAAATGAGTGTCGCCACCAAGCAAATGAAGGATGTCACCACTTCTGCTACCCAGGAAGTAATTCCTACCATTGTTCCTGTGCTGATGGGTACGAGCTCGGGAAGGACAAAAAACAGTGCATCGCATTAGGTAAGTGTTGGGCATGGAAGTACAGAGGGCACATGCTCAGTGCTGGAGTGGGCAGGCCATGATCTGATACTCAGATGTGATCAGCCTGCTTGGAGACTCAAGCAATGAGAATATTAGTGACCTTCCAAACTAGGTAGATAAAGGAGGAATCTAGGGACCACCTCCCTCAGCTATTTGGTGCAATTCAGATACAGGATAAAGATAAAGGTAAGCAAGCTGTGCTGATGGCTGGCTGATTACCACAAGCCTAACACCATGACCCAAAATGTTCAGCACCATCACTAAGCTACTAGACTACAGTTGCCAAGGAAATTATTCTGTTTTTCACCAGTTGAGAAATTGTCCTTCCACTTTTCTTTGGTGCAAAAACAAAACCACAAAGTCAAGGTGGAAACAGCAATATATTTGCAGGTAGTGGTTGTCTTGAAATGATACAGCACGAGGTTTTCATTTTTTCTTAATTCAATTGCTAGATCAATGTGCATGTGGCAGACTTCAAGACAGTGATAATCTGATAAGTGAAACCAGGAAGAAACGTGATGAGCAGTTTCCTTGGCAGGTATTTCTAGCAATTCATGAAACCCATCGCTCAACCTCACATGGACAGGAGTTATCTGTGGTCTTTTTGCATTTTCTTAGGTCTTGCTTCTAAACTCAGAAGGGAAGGGCTTCTGTGGAGGAGTGCTGCTAAAAAGTAATTTTGTATTAACTACAGCAGAGTGTGCCCTTCTACACAGCCATCTGGAAATCAGGGTTGGTGCTGGTAGGTGATCAAACATTTTCTTCTGTTGTAGCACATTTTAGTATTGACAAGCTAATTTTAAAAAGCTGTCAAGATATCATTCCTAGTTTACCTTTACTGCAGCGGTTTCAAGAACGAGCACCTTTAGTGTCTCTGCTGCACATATTTCTCAGCATGACTAGGCAGTTGTCAGTTTGCATATAGTTTTCAAGTCTCTGATAAATTATTCCTAAGAGCAGCAAAATGTCATTGCTTCACAGGGTCTAATGGAACAAGTGAAACAGAGAAGATAATGCAAGTCAGTGAGAAACACATACACCTTCGGTACGATGAAGACACTGGTGAGAACAACATCGCATTACTGCAACTCCAAGAGCATGTTGAGTGCAACAACCACCAGCTTCCTGTATGCACTCCTGAAAGAGACTTTGCAGAACACATTTTAATTCCAAAACTGCCTGGTACAGTCAGTGGCTGGAGAATGGAAGGTGATAAACTTCAAGGTGACGAGTTGCAGGTTTCATACCTTCCTG